TTTGGCGCGGTCTACAGCAGTTTCTCTCGCTTGAGCTGATGACCCGCTTGCAACAGCAGAACTTGACCTCGGGTCCAAATTTGCTCCTTACTGCTGCTACTCGAGCTGCAAGCTTGGAATTCGTACAGGATCTCCTACATCAAGGACGGACACCCCGAGAGATGGTGCCCATGGAGTCGATCCGCCCAACTGACACATCCAAGACGTCCACAACAATACCAGCCCCGCAAGCTACCGTTTCTGTATGGCTGATCTTCCTATATCGCTTCGTCGAGCAGTATTTCGTGTCTCGCTGTACTGGTGACCCGGAAAATGGATGTCTTGAGGAGTTCTTGCAGTACGATGTTGACCGGGACGTGCTGTTTGTCGTGAGAATATTTGCCTCGTCCGAAAAGCCAAACGGACCGGCGGATGACGACCAGCCTCCCCGGAAACAAAGCGGTGAATCGGACAAAAGAGTGGCATTTGAGTTGCTAGAATTCCTAGAGTTGGTGGAACCATCTAACATAGAGACTCTTCGCATGAAACTTTCGAGCAAGGGAACCCGAGAAGACCGACTAGAAGTGACGCCCATTTCCGGGCCTCAAATTCCCTATCAAAGAGACTCTCTATCTAACGCCCTTGAAGCAATTGTGACCGCGGATAATATTGATCGCCCCTTTGGATTTGGACCGCATCTCTGCCTTGGTGCCCTTTGCTTTTCGCGTAACCTAAACCATGGCTGGACTTTTATACGATCAATTAGGTTATCAAATATCAACAATAGTAACGATTCTATCTCTTGTATGCTCTTATATGCTTCCTGGATTTTTTTAAATCGCTTTGACGCTAGTACCAGTGGCACCACGAGGGGAGCCTCACAACGGAAACGGCTAGGCCACAACAGGCCTTGGCGAGGCTCTAAATTCGTTCAAGAAATGAGAAATTTCACATATACGTACATGGATGTATCCAAGTCCACAAAATTTCGCTAAATTACTATGCCCCTCAGAATGCCTCCAAAGTTGCGATAAGAGTGGTGTGGGGCGAGAATACAATCGTAGCAGGTTCTCTATGGCATGTTCTATTATGAGCCCAGTTTCTTTGTTCGGTTTCGATACAGCATCTGTTTGCCAGCCATGCTGCCAAATATCTAGGGCCTCTAGCCCCATCCATAGTAGTTATGTGTAGTCATATAGAGAGACAAACCCCGGTTCGTTGAAATCAAACTTTTTTTCTTCTCGCTGTAATATCCTTGATTATATATTTTTCTTTGGATTTCATAATGTGTAGAATTGGGTTGACTTATCGGTTCTTCGCACTCACGCAGCACTCTTGCCTGAGTTGTATATTGGATAGAACTGTGGGTGATTTATGGTGTAAGCTGAAATTCGATGTATATAGTGCCCACTTGAGACCCCGCGTCGGCAACTTACTACGACTGAGTAAGTTGGCTGTCATTGACACGTCGGGGGCATCGTAACTAACTGAAGCTAGGAGGGAAAAAGAGCGTGGGAAGGGAAAGAGGGAAAGAGGGGAAAGAGGGTTAAATAAAAGAAAAAAAAAGTCGGGGGGAGTTTTGTTGTCATGTGTATTTCTATCATAATGACCGTGAGATCCCAAAAATGCCAGAGAACCTTACCGAGACGACAGGGCTTACTCTCGACCAGTCGAAGACAAGGACTGGAAACAGTACAGGTCTCACTGTACTTTCACAGCTAGACGAGTTACGACAAGAGAGTTCTGGTTCGAAGGAACAGAATCAACAAACAATTTTTCAATTTGCGTCGTCCGATCCTGCCTCGTCGCTTCCACCATGACAGGAGCACAGGATGGAGGGTACTTCCTCTTCACACGCTTCCTTAACGACATTGAGAATCCGACCACAGGTGTTCCCAAATATGGCCCCAAGGGAACCCAGAACCCTCAAGACCGGATCTCGTCAGCCCTGGGCTCTGTCGAGAATGGCTCAACGATCATACCGTTCTATTCATTCCTCTCCATATACGGCGCATTCTCACGACGGAGGCTCTTGACCAGCACGCAATTGTTTTTCAAGCTCCGTCGCTCACTATTGTGGCCGACCCGTGGGCATATATTTTTTAAACCAAGATACATAGCCTATCTGGTAGTGGACAAGAATGCCCCAAAGAGGTAGTCTCCTGGGTCCTCGGTAGTTGTCGAGTTCCTCTGTCCTCAAGTACACTGCGCAGACCAGGGTGGAGGATGACGCGGACCTAAACGATCCGACCTCCCAGGCCCCTGTTTACTATTTCGAACCTAGTTGGGGCATTGCGAGAATTATCTGTAGCTAGCGACAGCATGGATATAGAAGCATCATGTGAAATGTACATTGCACTTATAGAAACTTCATCTCCCATTGCCCAGGTGCCATGATGGGGTTAATTCATTCTATGGATACTTGATTCAAAATACATTTGTCTTGTTACACGAACCGTGCCGCCTGGCCATAATCACTCCGCCGATCCTCTACCGTCACAGCAACTCCATAGTTAACCATTATATTCCTCCTGTCACTAGGATCGGCCAATTTCTCCTGACTGCTTGACGGACTGGTAGAACGGTATGCACTCGCCGACTGGTAAGACTCCTCCTTTCCCCTGAAGCTATCCAAAGGAATATCCGTTCTTCCGAACGCACCGGAGCGGTTTGATGGCATACCACTGCCTCCACGGCCCCGCAGGTTGTACGAGTCATACGGGTAGGATGTCTTGGAGGGCGAGATAGCGGTTTTAAGGACGCGGTAGAGGCCGGGGCAACAACCGATCATGACAGCTAGGAGAACGAAAGTGAGTAAAATGGGTCAATTTGCAAGCGGAGAAAGTTGAAATTGTAACCATACCGATTGATGCCTCGATGGTTCCCCATAGCGCTAGCCATGATGGAGCGGGAACTCCGTTCTCAGTCTCACCTAGCTGAACGACGCGGATGGTGGAAATAACTATGCAGATCCAGCCAAAGCAGAATAGCCCGCCAATGCTCAGCTTTTGGCGGGTTTTCATCTGTAGGTTCCAGATGAGGCGGATGGGAAGGATCATGACTTAGAGACGAATTAGATCAGTGATCTTCGAGGGCCAAAGAGGACAATGCGCACTTGCTAGGTCTGTGACTATATCCACCGCGTATGCGTAGTATAAGCTGATGACGGCCGCCCGATGATCGCGTGGAGTATCGCATTGGCCTGCAGTAAACCAGGCGTGGAAACTCGAGCATGATAGCCACGATGAGACAACGCAGCCAATAATAAACTGAGAGGAATCTTGTCAGTAATCCAAATTCTCGGACTGAGGTGGGAGATACATACCAGGACACAAAATCCCATGATAATCCACCAAGCGATGGTAAACCTTTTTCCAACCAACAACCTTTTATACATTGCCAAGAGCGAGAACTTGACCATCCATAAGCAAAGCCATAACGAAGATGTCGTTACGAAGAAGACAGTCTGTAATCGGAGTACATCTTCAGAAATGGTGGCATAAGGGGGAACCGTTCCGGCACCGACTGCTGCTATCCGAAAGATGGCCGGGGCAATGTAGATGTAGAGAATACTCAGTTCCAGGAAGAATATGTAAGCGGCAATCAGAAGGTAGTCTTCAGCCTTGAGGTCCTTGAAGCTTCGAATAAGACCAGCAAAACGAGTGCCTACAACCAGCGAGGTGAGTACAATCAAGGCAATACCAGTACCTTTAATGGTACCGGGCCCAAATGTGCCGGCAATGGCCTCTCCCATCCCTCCTTGTAAGACTGGATTTTAGAAAATCACGCCAGGGACCGCGTGGGGCCAGTGCCATCCATATACATAAAGCCACTCCATCAGGATTCGAATAAGCAAACACATGGCAGCCATAATCTTGGGTTTCAGATTCACAGATGGGCACCACCTGCAGCCACCATGCGCAGATTCTTCGAGACGTGTGTGATTTAGAGTGAACAGGGATTGTAAAACTTCCACGAGGGCCAATATACGCATTTGTTTCGAATGCCAATGCAGGAATTATTGAAGATGCATGCCCCACCAGCCCTGGGCCAATCGCAGAAGAATTATATAGCACCGGTGGGGTGGATGGCCCGCCTCTCAGCCCTGGCCCTTGTGCCCCAATTGGCCCCAAGCGGCCCCCATTTCACCCCAATAGCCACGGACCCGATAACGGGCCGTGGCGCACATGGAGCGAGGGGCCTTAGAAAAAGGAAACATATTTACCTGGGCAGGGTTCAAGGCGTAGTTTAGCATAACGTTGTCAGAAATAATATGCAGATAATCTTCAAAGGGAAAAAAGGAATGCCGACTTTGGTCAATGGTGGAAGGCTGGTAAGATTGCGAATTGAGTTTGGGCTTATCCTTGTCTCAAACTAAACCGCTGCCTGCATAAGCCCCGGACTCACGGAGTGCCAGGTCCTTGGTGGCGTTATTCGTCGCCCTCGCTTAGGAAATTCATTATAATTCCATTTATTAAGGATATGCCTGGATTGCAAAACAAGGACAAGAGAGAGTATGTAGCCGATAGGAATAACCTTACGCAATGATAATAATACTCAGGCTGAAACAAGCGCTGGCGCCGCTGAGCCGAGAGGGAAAGCCCACAAATGCCATTGTTATGAGCTTTCAGCTAGCTTAACCTTTCGGGCTGCGCCGCTTCGCTTACATTTGGAAGCGAAATTGCTTTGAAATTGCTTTGCTTGTTAACGAAAGCGAACACAGCCTTGGAATGCCTAGCCGTAATATGCTCCAATCACCCGAACCCCTTAATTACTTAATTACACCTAATGGCCCGTACGCTAACTGGGGACTATCCCGGGAACCTCAAC